AAGGGTTTATTTGGAGACAGGGAGAACAATATATTATAAGAAGAATCACTCAATTCTGTCACAATTGCAGAGACAAACTTATTTGTCAATTTTTGTCAAATTAATGATACGATACGGGTATCTAATAGTGAGAAAACCTTTACGAATCTGCAAAGCAATTTAATGATATTTGTCAGAAGTTCCCATTGTTGGAGAAGGCCTGTGCCCAGCAATGGGATCACATAGGCTAACTGTTATTACTATTGTAACTGATAGTAAATTTGTTAGCAAATAACACATTTAAATTTGCCTTCATCTATTACTATCGTATCAAGTTTATTTGAATTGACGCAATCGCCTTCACTGCCAGACTCTTCGATTATTCACTAAACGTTTTTATAACTGTGGCTAATACAGGCTGTAACGAAAAGGTACATCCATAAATTGTGACTGGTGATTGTACTCATAATAACAAACGACTTAAACCAAAATATTACTAGGAATTCGCCAAAGAATATTTAGGATCATTATACAAAAAATACGCGCATCGAGTTGTATGTTTGCACGGCGACTAACTTTTTTCCATTTACAAATGCTTTTCTTAATAAATAAATATACATTTTATACAACATCACATACGTTGCACTGATCCCAAAGTAAGTAGCTAAAGCTACACAAACATACACAGCTACACAGACATAAAATATGGAAAAGTTAGTTTTTCTACACTGATCTCAGGGATAGCGAGACCATGAAAACCGGTGTGTAAGTCACTCGACCATGGAGGTCGTTAAAATTATTTGTTATGACTAATAATAGGTATCAGCTGAAGTAATAATTTCATTAGCCTGGTTTAAATAGGGCGCAGTGAGCAAATTAATATCAAAATTGATATTAAACACGGTAAATTTAATGTTGTTGAATGTACTGGGCAAAATAAAAAATTAAATTCAAAATCAGTTTATTTTATATGCAAAAATTGCATTGTGAAAAAATTATAATGCAAATAGGTAATAATGGACACATAATCACATGTCCAATAGGTTTATGACTCAGCTACAGAAGACTATGAAGCTCATTGCTCTGGCTGACATTTTTTGATTTTGATCCATCGATCGTCGACCTCATCGTCACTTTCCATCAGGTGAGATGGAGGTTAAATGCGCACTTATATTATATTTAAAAAAAATACATGTATTCTGCCATGGCCAATAATGGTTAAGAACACATCATCATCAACCCATTTACACGTTCCACTGCTGGATACGGGTCTCTTCTCTATCGCCAGTGAAGACACGGGGTTCAAGCCATAGTCCGCCACACTGGCTGCAAGTCGCATTGCCTAGGGGACTTCACACACACGTTTTCTGAGGGTTGTGAACTTCTTCGAGGGTTGTGAGCTTATGGAATTTTTCAAATTAAATTTGAGGTTAAGAACACACAAAAGAAAAATTTCACACGCCTGAGCAAAAACGACAAGAATATAAATATAATTATAATTTCAAAATATTCACGACCAGTACAACACTTATAGTAAAAATAGTAAGAAATTTGCATGTTGGGTTTGCTAATAATTAATCGTTCCCACAATGCTTTGCCAGTACGCAACTTCTTGCAAAATTCAAACAGAAACAGAATCATTCCATTTCAATTTTTATCTAAAAAAGCGACTATCGAAAATGTAGCACAAACAGCATATATGTACGGTCGTCCCGATAGCACATTGTCATTGTCGAACTAGTTGGGTAGAACAGTTAAGGCGAGTTACCGGAGGATAAATGAGAAAAACTGTTTTGCTAGATGAAATGGTTCAGGTATTTGCTATTAAGTAACCGTGTTACACTAAAATACGATTCACCTAAGGATATTGTCTAAAGAATGTGGTAATGAGTTACACGGTAGTACGTGCTTCGCCCGATCATATAAAATCCCGAAGCCATCCTAAAATAAAATACTAAAACGAATTATTTAAGAATAAAATATCTAACTTTGCACATAATTTTTATACGGAGATGTTTCTCTTTAAGTACAACAGAGAACCTGCTACGTTTTCGTATTTAACTGAATTCCTGTAGTTATTAAATTCACATTTATCTCAAAATTTGAATGTTGTGCAGCGGCTTAACGACGTGTCGCGCCTTTCGCTGGCCCTAGACAGTCGCCATCGGGCGTTTGTCGACGTCAGATGTGAGTCAAATTTTCTCCTCCTGTTCTAATTTTATTCATACTAATTTGCAGCGCGCGGGTTATGAGACGCGAGTGGCGGTCTGCGGCACCTCCCAAAATGTAGGCTCGCTTTGAAATACTTCGCCTTAAGTGGTTTTAGGCTAAATAAAATAAATAAAAATAACTTTATATAATATTAGTGTACCAGACGAGGACACAATTCCTTGATCTAAACTAAAGAGTAACTAACTATGAGCACCAAACGCAATCAAATTAACTCTGGGGCTCTACCTAGAACCCCCAAGTTAGAATAAAAATGTTCGATTTCCAAATTGGTTCTACCGGGAATCGAATTCGGGACCTTCTTATCTAGAGCACACAGTGACAACCGCTGAGCCATCGAGGTTGTATTAAAGTATCGCTTACTCTTTTCCTTTGCGGCAAGCTTCGTCAATACAAAGGCCAATCAAGCCCAGTCCAAAGCGTGAAATCAAATGGTAGCTACCACGGTGGATTATTATTTAAAAACGCTTTAGCCCTTCCAGATTAAAAGTGCGAAGGCCATCAAAGAAACATCTCGGGTAAAAAATAAAACTCATATTTCATTTTTGCTTGGAGTATTTATAACGAAATGTTTGATAATGTATTATATTATTTATTTAATCAGAACTGCAATCACTTTTTCAAGACTGGTACTGCCATCTATCGCTGTAGTGTGTTAATTTTTTTTTTGCGAAAAACGTTGGTTCGTTGATGTTTTTGTGTTGAATAATCAAAACTTCAATCAGAATTTATAACATGCGTATCTTTATGCTACAACATATATTATCTTGATAAGTTGGAAAACCAAAAAGATATTTCTTTATTCTCAATAACTGTTTCCCTGTCTTATCTTGTTGTTCTTTATTAAAACTGGCCTCAAATGTTTCGTTCTACCGGTTTTACTAAGTGGGATCTATATTCTTTTTTAGTTGTAGCTTAGTCATCCCTTCGCATAATATGCGATGGCCTACTTTCATTTCTGTTAGCTCATTGGTTCGTCCGCAAAACATGTTTGAACTTGAAGACGGCTGGCTATCGGTAATTTTTTTTATCTCATTCTATCTACGTTTGGATGTACATACATATTATTTGGAAGTTTTTGATCAAATTAAAGAGAGAAGTATCAAGTTTTTGATACTTCTACATAACATGTACAGAGTACATATTTAATGCGTGGATAGAAAATGACCATGCCATTGTAAATAATTATTTATAACAATCACCGTACAATCTTGTGTAATGAGTCCAGTAAATATGTTTGCAGAAAGCAAACTATCCCATGAGAACCAGTTTTTTTTTTATTTTGAAAAACGTGTGTGATTTTGTAGAATCGTGTTCTAATGCTTTACGTAACTAAAGAGTTAAGAACATTTTGTCTTTTGGCGGGTTTTTCTAGATTCGAACCGTGGTATGAATGAGAAAGAAACCTTTTGGATCCCTTTTGTTGAATTTATCTTTTTATTATATTTACGATTTACTAATCAACTAAGTGCCATTTTTCTACAAATTTTCAATAAGTTAATTAAATGGTCGTAGCGAAAATATATCATCTCTTTTATGTAGAGTCTTCAAGAATTATGAATTAACTTGTTGAATATTATTTGAGATATCGTAAACTCATTTACCATTTATTACTATTTAATTTCAAAATAAAAAAGACTGTAGTGTGGAAAGAAAACTCTGAACAGGAGTAATAAAAAATAAGAAAAATCAACAAAAAAAAATCGCATACGCAATGATTCGCTAGCTTGTAGTAGTAAGAATAAACGTGACTAACATTATGATAGAGGCCGCTGAAGAGCTGTAAAACATGAAACAACATAGATTGATTGAGCTGGTTCTTAAAGTTTAAATTTTTCGACCGCGATAAATAAAACGCGTGCATGTATTATTTACTTATTTTGTGACTCTACAATAAAAAATGGTGCATGAAATGACACTTTTTTATCATGGTTTGTATACTTTGCTTTAACTTACACTTTAATTTTTCTCTACAGTAAAAAATATGTAATGCATAAAGAGCAAATCTTCATACAATGGTTTTCACTTTATTCTACATGCCAATGAACCCAAAAACACCTTGCGTTGCACAAACTAAATGCCTATGGCAAAACCGCGGCCGTAAAACCGTTTTATTTACACGAACGTACAAACAAACCATTACCAAATTACTTGGAATAAAATTACACACGCGCTTACTCCTGTCACAGTATCCTATAACCCAAACCTAAACTCGCATTAAAACCAGCTTTACGAACGTCTATCTGCTGAACAAAGAGCCGTTAAAACCTCGCGAAAATCGTATCACGCGTATTAGTAGAACTGTGGTGGCAAGCTCAACGCCAAGTGAACGCTCTCCGTATAACAACCCCGAGTCTCTGGTCCCCATTCTTACGTCACCTCACCCCATATGAAATAAGAGATCCCATTGGCCAATTCAGTTTGGCGCGCTTTCTCAGTTCCAAAAGCTAAAGCTCGACCATTTTCCTTTTCATTCTGACTAAGACAGTTTGCAATCACGTTAAAGCGAGATGCATTTACTTTGCCGTTCACTATCCTTACTGTGATGTAACCGGTTTGAAAAGAGAGCGGTGTATACAACGAGCTTCATGTTCGAAGGGGATGGGAATATCTGTGTCACGGTTGTCTGTAGTGGTGAAGTGCGAAGGGAACGTGCTACCGTGCGTTTGACTATTTATAATCAAATAGGTTATGCTTGTGTGCTCGTGTGCTTACATTATGCACCGCACCAATACACATGTAGGAGCGTCGAGCGAAGCAATGATGTGCACGAAGTATTATCCCTTATTACACGATCCGCTTCCGCGCCGGCCGCACGTACAATAGTAGTCTGCCTGCCGATCTCTTTTGTAGCGCCGAGTGCTAAGTGCCCGTTTGTTTACATCACAGCGATGCATAGTGCGTTACTTAGCGCAATTGTGTCATCGACCGTTTGCCGGTTATCGCTAAATTATGAGTGAGTTCTGGACAATACTCATCTCGGAGATTTCGCATTAAAACTTTTGTATACTTTTGAGGTCGAATCGCCACTTTATGATCTCGATAGCGCCAAATAGAACTGTGAATTTTCTATGTCTTTAGACTCAGTGTGCCATTAAAAAGTGCTAAAATTGAACTTTTTCAATAAATTTTTGTAGACTTTTTATAAATTTTTGTAAGACTTTTACATCGAAATAAAATCTTGGTAAATGACCTATTCGGGAAAACATTACGATTTTACACTTTAATAAAATTGAAGTCCTTATAACCCATCATCCAAAAATAAAATTGATCCAGCCCTTGAAGAAGCCTAAGAAATATTGAAGAAAACCTTTACTGAAAAAGGCACCAAGTACGAAAAGTTTACGGCGAACTGACCGAGTTTCATCTGCAGAAAAAGAAATTATCAGAGACAAAGATGGCAATAGCCTTTAACCTACCGAGTGAAAGAGAAGCAACCGAGGAAAACTTTTCACGGTTGAACCGCCTCCTCGCTGAGCTGTACGAAGTTCTGTGCCACATCTTGGTCTCTCGGCAACCTGGCCAAGAAGCTCAAGAAAATCGTCGAGGTGAGTGCCCTCGAGACCCTAACACACCACCTTACCACTTAAGATGCAATTCGACCTACATCGTCAACTTGATGGTGGTTGTTGCCATCCTCAAAGTGTCTCTCACGTCATCACTCTTCAGTACCATCAGATAAGTGAAGATGGTTATAGATAAGTATCTAACGTTAACGGTGATACTGCAAAGCAGATCTGGACTGTTGTTAAGTATTTTTAAGTCCATTCGTAATTTGTAATCATTTTAATTACGCATATTGGAAGAGATGTGTCAAACTGCACTTAAATTGTAAATGGTGGTCTGTGTCAATCAAAATGAAAGGAATATATATTTTTTAACGTTTAATGTCCTTTCATTTTTGTTGGATATTTCAATTTCATTATTGTGCGCTTTACACTCTAGTTACTAGATACTTTTTGATTCCTTAATTTGAGTCAAATTCGACAAAAAGCCTCATGAAAACGTGGCGTTTTTTCACAAAACTTTATGATAAATTTAATTACCTGTGCGTAAAATAAATCCAATGTTTTTGTGCTTCTCAGTGCAAAATAATTTAAGTATGATGTAGTAATCTTACCAGGTTTATACAATGTAAGGATGTATTCAAACATTTAATATAATATGTCATATACATTTAGAATTTTGTTAAGTTTGATGTTTAGTTACATTTCCATTTGATCTCTTTTTGTTTATAAATTTTATTACTCAAAAGTAATTATGATTAGTTTAATTATAATTACCTTGTCTAGAGTTCTCGGGACAGTTAGCATTTAATTATTTTTGTTTTTTCGTACTAAACATAACTTTTATATTATGTGGATCTCAAATTGTATTTTAGTTCCAAATAATTTCGATAGTCATATAGGATTTTAGAACTTTTGTTGAGTTCTAAATAATTTGTTTAGACGCCAAATATTAGATAATGTGTACATGATACAAAATCATGCAGAAATAAATCGTTTCCGAATGGTGACACCATCCAAGTATAAAGCCTCCTTGGTACTAAATGATTTGTATTGATTTTTTTATAATTTAGTGTAACTATATACATATTATTAATCAACCGTAAAGTTATTTTTTATTTCAACCTATGTTTTGTCTAAAAGAACTTTTCACAAAGAAATTGTTCCCAATTTTTTTTATATATTTAGCTTATGATGTAGATTTATGATTTTGAAACTTGTAAATATTGCATTTAAATGTTTGTGATTTTTATATAAGCATTCTCAATTATAATATACAATTACATTAGTCCATAATTTTCAACTATTATTTACAATAATCGTATAATTAAGTACCCCATGTAATCCACTTTATCATACATATACCTACTAGACTGTGTTTTATGTATTATATTATAACTCATGTCTTTACAATTCAATTGGGATATTTTGAAATAAATACTTCTATGTAAGAATATTTTTTCTATTAATTTATAACCTTTCATTATTCATATTTTCTATTTTAAAATTTTATTTTTCCATTCATTTGATTCTATGATTAGTTAAATAATAACCGAGCATAGAAAACAACAGTAAATTAGCATATCATTTCACACTTAGTATTTTACCTAGAAAAAACGTACACAACTTCTATTATAACAAATGAGAATCCCCTGTATAACTTAAAAATAAACGAGCATAAATTTGAAATATAAACATACAGCAAAATAACGGGTAAATTCGTATATAAAGCACAGCGCACAGTTAAGTCAGCTAACTCATAAACAGTGTCAGAACTAGGCTCGTCAATCAAGTCGAAAATAGCCAAGTTTGTTTACATTCACTAATGTCAGGACATAGAACGGGCGAAACCAGAGTTTTCCAAACGTGTTTTAACAGGTGAGGGCACTTACCGACGAAAGCCTACCCTAGGCAATATAATTAATAATTTGTCATCGATAAGACTTATTAAACAATTTTTACAAAAAAAAATATATTTTCAAGTGTAAATAGATAATGCATGCAATGAGTCCTCCAACACATTTTTAATCGAATAATAATAATAGGTATTATTTAAAAGGATACATTTCTCAGATAACTACTTTCGCTTCCTAGATCAAGAAGTAAGTAGTTCAAGCTATTGACTTAAACTTGGCACGTTCTACTTCAGAGTTGAAGTCACGAACTTGTGCGGTGCAAGCAAAGAACTTTTAACGAGTCGCGTAAAATTTTTTTTGTTGTACTTAAATATAATAACTTTAAAATCCTATGATTTTACGCTGATATATTATTAGTGATTTCCCTCATTGGAAACAAATTGAGATGTTATTTATTTTTAGACAATCTTGTTGTAGGTTCTAAAAAAATTAAATACTTAAGAGATAGAGTAAAATCATATTTCATATGGAATGAAAATTTAGTCCGGTGTAAAAACATTGCTATGAGAAAATGTGCATTTACCGAATTTCAGATTCAAATAACTTTCGATAAATATTTAAATGAGACACACAATTAAATCTTAATTTATTGTAATGAAATGTAATTTATCTGAGAATACATCGTTATTTTGTCAAACTTTATTTTGTCATTTGACAAAATATATTTGTGTGAGATACCGATACCGAATTTATAATCAAAGACAAAATATGAACACAATTATATAATTTCCAGAATTATACTAAAGTTTGTTAAAATTTTTATTTTTTGCCATGCACTGAAATTAATAGACGCGAAAGTTTTACTACTTGGCCTAGACGTTGGCATTGGACTCGGAACATGGCATTGAAAGCGAAATCTGATCGTACCCGTACCAGAGTGCAGGATGAAATCGAAATCTAGATTTGTGTCCGAATATCTTTGTAAAGAATAACAGCAAGTACTCTCTACTCTAACCTAACCTTTTGATTAAAATATAACATTTTATGTTAGCGAGATCTAACATAAAATATAACATTTTATGTTAGCGAGATCTAACAAAATTAAATTCGGAAAATATTTACGTAGATATTTTGAAATATTTCTAGTTAAAGTAACTTACGCAATTTACATAAAGTAAGATATTACGTTAATTATTACGGGTAAAATTTTAGTTTATTTGCACAGGAATTAAATGTATTATGTTTCAAAAATGAAACATTTCTCTGTAGTTATTCATCTGACTTATTGTTAAGGAACCAAAAAGTACTTTTGTAGTGCTTTTACTTGTATTTTAAATAATGTTTTTAATTTCAGTGGTTTTTAACAGGCAAAACTTGAAAAATGCCTAAACTAGGCATTACGTTCCAAACTAGAATAAGACCATTCACTTAGAAACATTTCTTTTTTAATTGTCCCAAACTCACAATAAAAAAACATAAAATAAGAATACAATATAAAATTAAAAAACCGAGTACAATACATAATCTCCAGCAACTTCAAGTCGTAGGTAATTAACGTAAAAAATTCAAGTTATAATTAAAGATACGCTTTCAAGGATTTGTGACATTTTTGATCACAGTCGAAGTGGAAAGTGACGGTTGAACGATTCAAATTGTCATTAAGCTTTTTTCAGACACTCAAAAGTCCACAATATTCATTGTTGATCATCATTCTCACTTTTTTATTAGCTATTCAACGAAAGAAGCTCAGTATTTTTTTTAATTAAAAATGTGTTTGTTTTAAAAGAATATACCCAAAAGTTTTTTCTTACAACGCATTATCAAACGCCACGACGAAATCGAGAAGTCACTAAAACTAATAAAAATACTTAATAAAATGTGTTAATATAATGGTCATAATTTTAACTGCCGAAAGTGTTTGTGACGTAACACACCCTTGCTTTCAAAAAATACCACAAGTACTTAGTTTTGTTATTTTAATGCAAAACTAGTCACACCGGCAACAAGCAATTACTTTCCAAGTAATAAAACACATTAACTGTGAGTCGGTATGTTAATCAGCTGAATTCGTGAACAAAATTAGCACGTTGCCAAGGGTTACACAGTTTCACATTGTTAAACTACTGCCTTTGCTTCTTTAACATGGAAACGTCAAGAAATTATTTAATTTTAAGTTTACAATTCAAATTTTATTTTAAGGTGTAAATATCATTACGAAAATAACTAATTCAATATATAATCTTAGAGCTTTGAAGAAAGATACCAAAACAAGTAAAATTAATGCAAAAACGGTAAACCCACATTTAATCATGTTGTTAAAAGCGATACCATATTTGCGGTTTCACTTATTTACACTATATTGTTTATTAGTATTATATTTCCCGTTGCGTATAATAAATAGGTAATTATTGCACAACATTTATAGGTTGGTTTAGTTTATCTCACTCAACATTACAAATTTCATACAAACACAATTACATGTCATTTTATACTACTCTCCGAAAAGTTATCGTCAGTTTACAAAATAATGAGAATAATAATTATAAGAATATTATTCTAATAATTATTATTAGAATAATAATAAGTCACAGTAGTCAAGATAATTAATGAAAACTAATTGAATAAAACTAACAATGTCAGGTGTAACTACAATAATACAGGAAATGTAAATATGGATTCTTAATAACTAATAAATGTAAATTAAAATATAATAATGTATGGTAATTGTCAAATTCAATAATAAATAGCACATTTTAATTGTATATATTTATTAAGTGCGCTACATGTATTACAATTTCAATTTAACATGCTAAGTTTCAACCCTTGAGAACTAGTAGTGGTTTTGTCACTAAACTGTTGACGCTGTTTTTCTCTGTAGCAGCAGATATGGATCCTAGTATGGAAGAGAGCTATAATAATATATTCTACAGGTGCCGTCCCAAACAGGTGCCCTTTTTTCTTTTTCTTTTTTGGGACAGGTCCAGACAAGTTCAATAGAGCTTTGTCTGTGTTTGCTCCTAGTCCACGATTGGTATATTTTGATCCTTTTTTTTTCAATCCGACGTCGAAGGTTGTGGAACGAATGATAATTTATTGCAACGACTCTTGAATTTAAGAGAGTTTAGGATTTTTATTTTGATTGGAATTAGAATGTAGTTTTTTTATCTTACTGTTGTTGTTAATCTT